CATTCATTTAGATCAAATAGGTAAAAATTGAAAAGATATGGGGATAACGGATCACCTTGTAGTAAACCTCTGTAAGTAATGAATGGTGTCCAGATATTAGTATCCTGTTTGATAATTGTTTTGTATTTTCCGAATAACAATCCTATCATATTTATCAAGAGTTCTTTTGCCTTGTATCTCTTCATTTTACTCTGTAGATCGGTAATACTAATCATATCGTATGCTTTTTCAAGATCCAAAAACAGGGCAAACACTTTATGTCTTTTTTTGAGCAACTGGATTTGAATTAATGACAGCAATACAAAGAGGGCTGTCTGAGTACCTCCCCCTTCTACAAATGCAAATTGTGTATTATTTCTATAATTATTCGCCGCTGTCCAGTAATTAAATTTGTCAGCTAATACTCCAGTAAATACTTTACGTAGACAGGACAGAAGGGCTATTGGTCTGTAATTGGTTGGTTCTTGTTTGTTCCCTTGTTTAAATATCATAGTAAAAATAACTTCGTTCCATTTTTCCGGTATTATACTATTACTATAGAATTGATTAAATTGTCTAGTTAAATATCTTATGATTTCTATTGGCAACATTTTAATGATTGAATTTGGTATTATGTCCGATCCTGGAGTTGATTTGTCTTTAAGATTTTTGATACAATCCTGTACTTCTTCTATCTTGATTATCTCATCTTGCTGAATTTCTGGTCTTGTTTTAGTTCCTATATATTTTTTACAAACATTTTTCTGATAGTTCTCAGAGAATTTATTGTAGTATTTAAGCCAAATGTTATATTCTACTTTAGTCTGTTTTTCCAATCCTAACTTTCTTTTACGAAAACTATTAATTATTTTCCAGAAAACTCTCGAATCATTAGCTTCTGATAGTTTCTTACTGATTTTTGAAAAATATAATTTTTTCTTGGCTTTAATTAGATTGTTATACATTTTTTTATATTTTAAATAATTCATTAGTGCTTTACTGGTATTTGTTCTTCTAAAGATTTGTAAACACTTTTGTTTTTTAATTTTATAGCCATAACATGTACTATCGTACCATTCACATTTGAATATTTTACCATTTTGTTGTATACAATTTTTGTATCTATATTCCTCTAATTTTGTTATAATACTCCGATAATTTTCTATTGGATCATTTTCTTTTTCCAATGATAACATCTCTCCAATCATATCATCAAATTTATTCAAGATTTTTTGTTTATTATATGATGGTCTTAATTCCAGATTAATAGAATGACTCTGTTCACAATTATATATATTATTACTTATTTTCTCATATATTGTTAACTCTAACTGAATAGGAAAATGATCTGCAATGTCGTTTTCTAGAACCTTCAAATAGTTACAACAATTTATCATTTCTTCTGAGCAGATAATGTAATCTACTATAGATTTCCCACTTGGAGAGACAAAAGTAATTTCTGCAGGGGTGTCACCTCTCATTCTACCATTTAGAATTATTAGTTGGTTATTATCAATAAATTCTAAGAGTGCTCTTCCCCCTGTGTTTAACACTTTATCTTCCTACATGTGGTAAAATGCTTTTAATTTTATTTTTTAAATATTTAAAGATTATAATTATAAAAATATATCATACATTTATCGATTTTTATAATATTTTTTAAGAAATTAAAATAATTTCATATCTTCTATTTTGTAATTTAAAATATTGTTGATAAAATAATTAAAAATACATTTAATGATGTATTTTGTGATTATTACATGAAATTTCCAGTAATATTTTAATTATTAATTCAGAAATTAACAATCATCACTTATATATTTAGCAATTAATGCCGAAGATCAAATTAATTACATTTTATTTCTAAATGTATCTTTTAGATTTTTCTATCTAAAGTATATGTATTGAAAGCTTTAAAATACAGTAAACATGGAATTTTTTTACCACTTAAAGTAAAACTGACATATTTACTGATAGGCAGTATCAGCGTTAACATCGAATCCCTAGAGAAGACATCAAGTGAAACTTCGTTGGCGTCAAGCAAGAAGAAAGTTAAGATCCCTGTGGATGGAGAGGTTGACCCAGTGAAGGACTTTTTATATCAGATCTGTCCTATTAACGTAAGAGGATGGCGCAANATGTTCTATTCTGTAATTTAAAAAATTGTTGATAAAATGATTAAAAATACATTTTAATGATGTATTTTGTGATTATTATATGAAATTTCCAGTGATATTTTAATTATTAATTCAGAAATTAACAATCATCACTTATATATTTAGCAATTAATGCCGAAGATCAAATTAATTACATTCCATTTCTAAATGTATCTTTTAGATTTTTCTATCTAAAGTATATGTATTGAAAGCTTTAAAATACAGTAAACATGGAATTTTTCTACCACTTAAAGTAAAACTGACATATTTACTGATAGGCAGTATCAGCGTTGACATCGAATCCCTAGAGAAGACATCAAGTGAAACTTCCTTGGCGTCAAGCAAGAAGAAAGTTAAGATCCCTGTGGATGGAGAGGTTGACCCAGTGAAGGACTTTTTATATCAGATCTGTCCTATTAACGTAAGAGGATGGCGCAAACTTATCTGGTGGCGACGTGTACTTGAGATCTGCAAGGTAATTCCCGATTTTTGGTCATAGAAAGTGAATTTTTTCACATAATTTCCTTCGAAAAAAAAAGTTATTTACTAAATTTTTTTACAAGGAAAATTTGATTTTCTAGGTCTTAAATCACTGTTTTCCTGTAATACATTATGAAAGACTATTTAAAATCTTTATTTTAATTGTTATACATGATACAGACATGCTTATTTATTCTTTGTTACTAAAGATCAATATTTTTATAGTTAAATTTCTATATTTAGAATATAAGATGTGATGTTTTTTATATATATTTTTTTCAAAAAGGTGTTTTTAATGCTTTTTTAGAAAAGAAAATTGATTTTCTTTAATTTAAAATTTTCTTTATAAAGTATTATACGATGCTACTTAAAGCTCCATTCTTATACATGTTTATTTGCTTTTGATTATTGATTAATCATAAGAGTTATACTGTAATTATCATTTCCTGGAATTAGAAATAAATTTTTAAAATAAATTTCTTCAAATGTTGTTTTCATTAAAAAAAAAAAAAAAACAACTTTGTATCAAAGTAAATTAAATTTTACAAAAGAAAATTTGATTTACTCTGATTTTCCATTACCTAACATTGAAGGAATAGTATTTAAACCTTTATACTGTACTATACAGTACATGGTTAAGACATGTCTATTTGCTCTTTGTTATTGATCCACCAGATAAACATCAGGATTGACATTATGTATTGTTGTAGTAAGACAAAACTAACATTTGCAATTCTTTCCATTCCAGTGCCCTGTGATGTTACTTCTTACGATTACCACACCTGTTTTGGATGTAACTAAACCAAAACAGAATTGGTGTCGTTATCTCAATGTATTACACTGCATTACTGGTCCTTTGTTCATTTTAATGGTTACTGGATGTAAGTAAATGCTGTTTTTCTTTACTAACATAAATATGAGTATACAGTACTTAAAATTCTNTTTAATTTATTTTTCTGTAGATGCTCTTACAATGATTGGAGGCAAATTTCAACTAATTTGCATAATTTTAGTGTTTTCTTTGATCTTAGCTGCTATAGTATTTTTCACAAGTGAAAATGATAAGCAACCAAAATATCATTGTGCATTTTCTTATTTGGGATTTTTGGTTGCTGTTATATGGATTTATTGCATTTCTAACGAAATTGTAATTTTGTTGCAAGTAAGTTAATTCTTTAAACAATTAAAATAAACTATACAAATACAATTTTACAAAATAAAAATTTAATATTTTTAGGCTGTAGGAATTGTTTTTAACCTCAGTGACACCATAATTGGTTTAACCATTTTGGCATGGGGAAACTCTTTACTCGGTAAATTATTATTTTTAATAATTAAAAAAAAATTAAAAATACATTTTACATTTTATAAAAATAATACACTTTTGTATATATATTTTAAAAGATTTCCTTTCAAATGTGGCGGTAGCAAGGAAAGGTTTTCCAAGAATGGGAATTGCAGCTTGTTTTGGAACACCGTTCTTAAGTATCCTTTTTAATAAATGAAAATAAAATTAAATTACTGTCAAAACTTTAAAAAATTTGTTTGTAGTTTTAACTTAACTTTTAAAATATTACATAAAACAAAAATAATAAGTGTATCAATTGCGTATTTTTAGAATTCGTCGCTAATTTAAAGTGACATATGCCTCGTACAAATGTGAAGTTTTTACGTGATGTACTTAAATAATTGTATACATGAAAACAACATTTCCCAGGAGTTCTTTAATTTAAAAAAATATTAAATTTTCTTTAAATTTAACATTCTAAAACATTTAGAACATTCTTAAAAAAATGAAATGTAATTTAAAAATATACAGAAAAAGTTTAATTGTATTTTTTACTTAATTAACAATTAGCACTTTTACTTGGTGTTGGTGTTTCTTCGATGATACGATTATTTAAAAGTAACGATGGGAAATTGACGGTAGTTACAGTAAACTTTCTTGATATTTTACACTTTAATTTTAAAGTTTTATAAGTATTACAAAATGTATATTTATTTATTTTACAGTTAATATTTACAAGATTGACAATAATTTTATTTGCAACATTAGCAACGAGTTTGATTATCACCTTAATTACCATGACAATCCTGCGATTCCGAGTAAAGAGATATTGTGGTATCTTCCTGATAATTGTATACCTGACATTTTTAATTACTTCAGTGCTTACTGAAGTTGGAATATTCTAAAAATTTTCTAAAAATATTTTTCTTCAATGCAATAAATTCATACACTTCTATAAAAACAAACACAAAAATAAATTATTAGTGAGCTTTTTTGTTTATAAAAATTCCTTTTTTAGTATTCAAAAAATGTCATAATATATATATATATATAATTTATTTTTGTTTTAAACTGCTATATATAGTTGTATTTTTCCTGTTTTTAATTTATTATTATTATTTTTTTCACAATGGCGTTTTCTGGCAGCCGTTTGTAAACAACTGTATACTGATGTTTAAATTTTTAGTAAAAGCATTTGATATTTTGTTGAAATGAAAAATATAAATTATAAATACGAAAAATTCTTTATATTTTTTTCTCTATAATGAATCGTTACTTAGTTCGCAAATTAGCAATAGAGAAAGGTTAATTTAGTGCTTACAAGCTAATATACTTTTACTTGCAGCAACGTATTCAAAAGTATCCGAGAACTCGTTTTTCACATCAATTGTTGGTTCCACATTTACGTAAAGTCCAACTTCACCCAGCATATTTGTCCCATAAGAGGTAGCCATGGGATAACCTATGGAATAACAATTATGAATATTTGAAATTGTACTATTGTTACATGGGATATAGCCCCAATAAATTGTATTCTGTTGCTAATTCAATACGTTCCTTTAAAGGAAAACGAATAGTAGCAAACAATCTTTTATTAACCTCAGCATAATTACCGTATGCTACTTCCATCAACGTGTGTCATCACACGTACCACACACCACTACAACTTAATATTTGAACTCAAAGTATTCAAATAGAATACTATAGAAATACGAGGAATACAGTACTCACAATGAAACCGTTTGTCTGGATAATAAGAACAAGTCACAGAGGCAGGACCTTCTCCGAAAAGCAGCAGACATACGGAATATTATCGTCACAATGTGGTACCTTCCTTGCTAGCACGTACACGAACCCTCACATTAGAAGAGAAAGATGTGTCACTGAAAACTGGCCGAACTTCAGGCTTTGGCCGTAACATATACACTGTTAACGGATTTTAATTTATCTAAAAAATTTAAAGTATTTCTATATTTAAATAATTTTAAAATCTAAAAAAACATATCTTTCTTTTTAGATAATTAATCGTAATAAATTAGAAACAATTTTTTTGAAATTTTTCAAGATAAATACTTATACAAATCTTATATTCTACCATAAAAAAATAGGTTTTTATAGAGAAACAAGTACAGTATATATATTTGATACAAAGTAGTCTGTTTAAAATAAATTTTAAACATATAAAAGAAAAATTTTCATAACTCAGTGGACGACTTTTTCCAATATAGCAGAGACTATCTCTTCTGTACTAAGCTTCAATACATGAAAGAAAAGGCGAAGGTGTGGAGTTGACCATCTGTCAAACTGACACACAACCCAACAAAGCTCTTCCAGGCAGACTTTATTCCCTCCTGTTATATTGTAAGCTAAAACAGGCCCATCTGTAAGCTAGCTCAGCGCAACTGTAAAACGTGTTGGCTGCCACAAATTGGTTTCCCTGCTAGAAATGATATTTTCCCGATATATTATAGACAAAATAGCTTCAAACTTCAGTCATAAATGATTCATACTTTTATGTATTTTGTTTTTTTCCCTTCTTTTCTTATTCCACGACTCTGCCAGAATTACATGCATCGAAGGTTTTGCATTACACTGATAAAAGAATAATAAAATATTTATGCGAATTTTGTTAAAGGATAAGAATATATAAAAAGAAAAACAATATATATATTATAATAATTCAGTTCGACTAAAATATTGAAAAAAATACAAAATAAGACATAAATTTTATAAATATAAAAATAATTTAAGGTATTTTTACGTTTAAAATATCGATAGAATTTGCATATTTTATACTTAAAATTTCAACTGAATTTGTATACTTTTATATGTAAGACATTTCTGTTTTTTTTTTCCACTTAAAATGTCGACAGAATTTATGTATACTACACTTAAAATATCGATATAATTTATATATATATATTTATTTTTTCATGTGTATATTGCTTCATATATTTATATTGTTTACTTTAATACAAAAAATTTTGAAAATTAAAATCATTAGAAAACATTCTCATCTATATATATAAAAATGAATGTATGTGTGTGTGTGTGTGTTCTTCATGCATTACCACACCGTTTATCCGATTGCCGTGAAACTTTGGGAAGTTGTTTAATATACTCCAGCGAAGGTTTGTGGCATAGTACGATTGCCATGAAGCTTTGAAAAGTTTTTTAATTTTTGAATACACTCCCGCGAAGTACATTTATCCTACG